ACCCACCCTGGGTGGTATACAGTACAGAACAGCGGTGGCGGCTAGCTAACTTGTGTAGTATGAATACCTCATTATAGTCACATTATTGTTTGATGTGGAGAGGGTCAGACTATTTATGAGAAAATTCACTCTTCATGTGGCTTTTTTTTTTTTTAAACTATAAGTAGGCGCCTCATAAATATTTCATTTACTTAATAAATGGTCGGAAGTGTCCCTGAAACAGCTGTAGTCAAACAAACAGGTGGACATTGTCGGGGACTATTTTCAGCAGCGGATTAATCTACATTTGTTGTGTCTCTTTGTGTGTGGTGTGTAGTTCCTGATCACTTTGTCTCAGTGGTGTACTCAAACTCAGTCTGTGGTTCTGAACAACCTGAAGCCTCGAAGCAGACGAGCCGACGAGACGCGAGAGGATTACCATAAACACACACGGTAACACACACACACACGTTTGTCTGCCTGTACTCATGAGGACCCGAACCATTAACCTTAACCCTCAACCATAACGTTCTAACCTGGACCTTATAACAAAGTCTTAACCTTAAAGAGTCTGTTGAAGCAGTGAGGACCGGCCAAAATGTCCTCATAATGCTGAGTGTCCTCACTATGATGTATTAAACCTTGTAACGGTCCTCACGAAGACAGCAATACATGCCTACACACAGCTCAGACAGATTTTTAAGCATTTCTTATCTCTTTTAAAAAATGAAACACTTGCATGTTGCCGTGGTAACAGCATCTACTCTCAGTCCAGCTGCCATCTGATTGGTCAGGACAGATAACAGGAGGTCGTGTTTACATGAAAGCATGGATGGTCAGGATGCTCAGGTGTGACAGGAGAAGAGGTGTGCTCTCTCAGTGCATTGTGGGTATTGTAGTTGAGCTGGTTGTGTTTCCTGTCTCAGGGGCAGTGTGGAGGCGGGGGTGGAGGCTCTGCTGAGGTCAGCAGGGGGCAGTCTGCTCCACCTGTCTGTCTCTCAGTGTCCTCACATCCTCACTGACAGGACGCTGTGGCTCGCCAGCTGCTACAGCAGGAACCTGCAGACACTCATGTACAGGTGACTCCTTACCTGTCTGACTGTTTACCTGTCTGTCTGTTTACCTGTCAGTTTACCTGTCTGACTGTTTACCTGTCTGTTTACCTGTCTGTTTACCTGTTTGTTTGTTTACCTGTTTGTTTGTTTACTTGCCTGTTCATCTGTCTGACTGTTTACCTGTCTGTCTGTTTACCTGTTTGTTTGTTTACTTGCCTGTTCATCTGTCTGACTGTTTACCTGTCTGTCCGTTTACCTGTCTGACTGTTTGTTTGTTTACTTGCCTGTTCATCTGTCTGACTGTTTACCTGTCTGTCTGTTTACCTGTTTGTTTGTTTACTTGCCTGTTCATCTGTCTGACTGTTTACCTGTCTGTCTGTTTACCTGTCTGACTGTTGATCTGTCTGTCTGTTGACCTGTCTGACTGTTTACCTGTCTGTCTGTTTACCTGTCTGTTGACCTGTCTGTCTGTTTACCTGTCTGACTGTTTACCTGTCTGACTGTTTACCTGTCTGTCTGTTGACCTGTCTGACTGTTTACCTGTCTGTCTGTTTACCTGTCTGACTGTTTACCTGTCTGTCTGTTTACCTGTCTGTTGACCTGTCTGTCTGTTTACCTGTCTGACTGTTTACCTGTCTGTCTGTTTACCTGTCTGTCTGTTTACCTGTCTGTCTGTTTACCTGTCTGTCTGTTTACCTGTCTGTCTGTTTACCTGTCTGTCTGTTTACCTGTCTGTCTGTTTACCTGTCTGTCTGTTTACCTGTCTGTCTGTTTACCTGTCTGTCTGTTTACCTGTCTGTCTGTTTACCTGTCTGTCTGTTTACCTGTCTGTCTGTTTACCTGTCTGTCTGTTTACCTGTCTGTCTGTTTACCTGTCTGTCTGTTTACCTGTCTGTCTGTTTACCTGTCTGTCTGTTTACCTGTCTGTCTGTTTACCTGTCTGTCTGTTTACCTGTCTGTCTGTTGACCTGTCTGTCTGTTGACCTGTCTGTCTGTTTACCTGTCTGTCTGTTGACCTGTCTGTCTGTTGACCTGTCTGTCTGTTTACCTGTCTGTCTGTTGACCTGTCTGTCTGTTGACCTGTCTGTCTGTTTACCTGTCTGTCTGTTGACCTGTCTGTCTGTTGACCTGTCTGTCTGTTTACCTGTCTGTCTGTTGACCTGTCTGTCTGTTGACCTGTCTGTCTGTTTACCTGTCTGTCTGTTGACCTGTCTGTCTGTTTACCTGTCTGTCTGTTTACCTGTCTGTCTGTTGACCTGTCTGTCTGTTTACCTGTCTGTCTGTTTACCTGTCCGTTCATCTGTCTGACTGTTTACCTGTCTGTCTGTTTACCTGTCTGACTGTTTACCTGTCTGTCTGTTGACCTGTCTGTTCATCTGTCTGTCTGTTTACCTGTCTGACTGTTGACCTGTCTGTTGACCTGTCTGTCTGTTTACCTGTCTGTTTGTTGACCTGTCTGTCTGTTGGCCTGTCTGTCTGTTTGCCTGTCTGTTTACCTGTCTGTTCACCTGTCTGTCGGTTGACCTGTCTGTCTGTTTACCTGTCTGTCTGTTTACCGTTCTGTCTGTTGACCTGTCTGTCCCTGCAGGAGTTCATCAGACCCTCTTGGTCACGAGGTTCTCTGGGCCCTGGGTGCGGGCTGCAGGAACATCAGCAGCCTGCAGGTGGCTCCAGCTCACCCCTGGTCAGTGACCTCACACACACTGCAGAGACACATTCATTAGTGTTTTCTGAACTGACTGAATCTGCGTTAACTGCTGCGATCGTAACATCCAGGAGGGGCTGATCATCTGTCACGTCTTCTTTCAGCCAACAGCCCACTCGTTTTGGAAACCGCTGCCTGCAGACGATTGGCCGATGCTGGCCACACCTCCGCTCGCTCAGCGTGGGCGGGGCCGGCTGTGGGACTCAGGGATTGGCTGCTTTGGGTGAGTGAAAAAAGATTTCAGACGTTTTGGTGCTTTAATGTGAACACATGATGAATTATCAGAACATGAGGGATCATTTATTAATTTATTTCCTCACATATTCTGCTCAGCTCTGTGTTCACATTATATTTAATTTTGGTGAGTGACAGCGACCAGTGGTTAACATAACGTATAATAGAAACACATCTGATGAGTGTATATGTGTATGTGTGTGTGTGTGTGTGTGTGTGTGTAGTGTGCGCCTGTGCTCACCTGCAGGTGTTGGAGCTGGAGCGTATTACCGACCTCGGCCTGCAGGCGGCGACAGAGCTGTGTAAAGCAGGACTGAAGAGCCTGGAGACACTGATCCTGACACACACACCTGTCAGCGGTCAGGCCATCCTGCACTTCCACAGTGAGACACACTGACTGTCCTCTGAACACACACACACACTTACCATCATCATCATCATCATCATCCTGAGGTGTCAGTGCTTAAGGAAGCGTCCTGTGTGTCTCTGCAGGCGTGTGTGAGAACATCAGATCGATCAGCGTCCAGGTTTCTGTGTCGGATTACTTCGAGGAGCCGGACACTCAGGAAGCTCAACATCTGTTCGGAGAAATTCTGAACACGCTAAGGGTGAGTTTAAGGAAAACAAAATAAATCCTGCTCTTTGATTGGCTGGTTTAAACCAGTCATATGAACACCTCGTTCATAATTTACAAGCACACATCCTGTCCTGCGCCTTCATCGAACGAGCCACCAAGTAAAATCAGTCAGGGTGAAGTCAACGGTTCCCGTCAGTCTGCAGGCTACATTTGGGTTCCTGATGGTGTGTTCTCTTCCTCAGGTTCTTCAGAAGCGTCCCGGCCTGTGCGACGTCTTGCAGGTTAAAGCCGAAGGATTCTGCTGACCTCATCACACACACACACACACACACACCTGTCCTCACCAAGATCGACGTCCAACCACACACCTGAAGGAAATAACTTTCTTACAAAGTCTTTCCCTGATCGTCCAAACTGACGCTCAGTCACTGAGGAGTTTATGAAAACATGATCTACTTCCTGTGAACGTGTCAGACAGGTTTAAGTTAAGATTTATACTCTGACACAGTGTCGTCGTCGTCGTCTTCTGCTCTGGAGTCAGGACCAGCCAAAACATTAAGCCTTTCATTTTATTATTTCACTTAAATGTGTCATGGGTCACGACTTAATTTTCTACCACTGTTAAGTCTTTTTTTGCACTGTAGAAAGAAAACCCCTTATCTTCCACTGTTAAAACCCTTAATCTCCCTGAACACAACCTTCGTTTTTACTCTATTTTTGTCAAAACCTGAACCTCAACAGAATCTTTATTCTTTCCTAACTCATCCAGTTTAACCTTAAACCCCCCCACAGCTTTACGCCCCCTTAACTCACCCTGTTCCCCCAAAATAATCCCTTATCTCTAGCTTTACTTTACTCGGCTGCCCTTCAGCTGTTAACATGAAGGTCCAGTCAACAATATTAGCAATGAGGATGATCAATAAATCCTTATGAAACCTCGAAAGCCATAATTCTTTACTGACGTAGTAGAAAACCTTTAATTTTACCTTAAGATTTAATTTAACCCTTATTTAGCTTCACACTGAAAATAAGCACAAGCACATGTATGCACAGATATATTTGCACATTGACTCATACACCAAAGACATCAGTCAATCCATCGACCAATCAGAGGCATCGACCAATCAGATGTGTTTGAAAACTGAACCCATCATGTGTCTTTAAACGTCTTGTTCCAACTCAAAGGTGCTACATGTGTTGTTTACCATCAATAAAACTTTCTGTCACCACTTCTGGAGACGTTTGTGTCGTTAATGAACTTCCTGCTCACTGTTGCGACGGTCAGTGAACTCACCACAGACGCTCACTGCCCTGTTGTTACAGGAGAGTCATAGTGTGTGTGTGTGTGTGTGTGTGTGTGTGTGTGAGAGATAAACAGTACAAAGGTGAAGTGCGAAGGTCGTCCATGTTTGTACTTCCTGTAAACAAACGACCTTTAACCCCAGCGAGGGAGAATGTGAGAGTGTGATGACGAGTGACGGCTGATAAACAATGTGTGTGTGTTTTAAGTGGACGAGTTAAAGGGAAAGTGTGTGTCTGTGTGCGCTGTGGTCACCATGGTCTTCCTCAGACGGAGGACACTGCTTCGCTACCTGTTCCTGTCGGCCATGTTGGCTCTGCTCCTCTTCATCAGCTCCTTCTGGCTCCGTGAGTTTCCTCCGTCACTGAGTGTCGGCCATGTTGGCTCCGCCTCTCATCGGCTCAGTGGATGCTATTAAACTATTTATTCATGACACAGTGGTGGAAAGTAACTGAGTACATTTACTCAAGTACTGTAGTGAAGTACAATTCTTAGGTGATACTTTCAGCTTCACTACAGCTGACGGCGTCCGTCACTTTGCAGATTAAGATTTTATATAAAAACTATAAAAGCAACACATTGTTTAAACGAGTGGTTTCACAGTGTGAAGGTGCTGAACAGCAGCAGAGTGGATCCGACTGTTTCATGTTTTAATTCTATTAAAGAGACGTTTATATTTATTTTTAAGTGAAACTCAAAAAGATAAAACTCTTACTACAACTTTTAATACAAATCAAAATTTTGAGGAAAGTAAACAAAAAAAAAGAAGACGGTGAAAACAGGTTTGTGTTCAAGAACTTAGCTTCTTCATCTTCTCTCATTATTTACCTGGTGACCCTTTGGAGGGGCCCGACCCCTGGGTTGGGAACCACTGGACTAAACTAGCTAACTGTATAAAGTAGCTGAAACCAGCTCCACCTCCAGTCAAGTATTAATTTATTCTGTTAGTCACAGGAGCTAAACGAGAACTTTCTTCTTTCCTTTAAGCACGGTATGCTTAAAATACAAATGTGCTTTCAGTCCAGTCGGATTTTAACGTAGGACTTTGGAGCATTGTCACATCGTTATTTTCTCTACTTGCAGAACGTAGAGTGACGTATATTAGTTTTACAAACTTCACCTGTTTACTTGTTACCTTCACCTCTGACCTTTGTGATCCAAGGGCTTTTTTTATCCTAAATTAGCTCTTTCATTTTTCTCAGTTAGCAAGGTTAGCAGGTCAGCTAGCCTAGTTAGCCTAGCTAGCTACTACAGATGAAGAAAAGCCCTTTCAAGTTTACAAGGAAGGTGATCGGCTCTACGGAGCTTTACTACTCGCTTTAGCAAGACAATGTATGTCAGTCACCTTTTTTTTTTAGCAGAAAAAAGAGCCATAGCTACCTAGCGTTAGCTAAGATCCAAAAGTCAGGTTAACACTCGTGCTACAGAGTGACTCATGTCACTAATGGTTATCTGATGAGTCCCAGTACTGACTCCCCGGTTCACATTCTGGGCACTGCCGTGTCACAGTTTACTACGATCCAGGCACCGAACCTTAAACTGCTCCAAGGGCCCCGTTCATAGCTGCACCCTGCGCTACCCGCATGTTGGGAGTGTTTGTGGGGAGGATTCATGAAAAGACGCATTTCAACTGCTAACTGCCTGAAAACTGACGAATAAGTGAAGTAAACTAATTTTTAAATGTATTTAAATTTTACAGAATACGTACTTTTACTTGAGTTCAGGATGTGAATTCTTCTTCCACCACTGTTTTATACAGTATTTCATTACTGGGTGGGAAACACTCACAAGCGACCCCTAGTGGTGATCACATGGAGAGCACACTTACTCTTTTGTTTTTGTTTTTTAAATTAATTTTAAATACTACTTACTCATGTTTTTTAATAATTTTAAATATTTCAGAGAATGATGGACAGAAGTCAATAACATCTTTTCTACCTTATTTTACATTTAAAAAAAAATAGTAACAAAAAAAAAAAACAGCCATAGCCTGATGATGATTTTGACACAGGCCCCACCCATTTGTTTATATTTTAGCCCCATGTTTTAACAAATTAATCAACCTGTGAATATTAATATAAACAGAATGACACATAATGAATATATCGAGGTGTGGGGCCCCCGACTGTGACAGGATGTGTAAACAAAATAAAGTGATGGTTATTATTGGCAGAGTCACTATCGGTCATTTGTCTCTTCAGCTCAGGGTGGAGTAGGCGAATGTGGCAGCGCCTGGCAGCCATGTTTGAGTTTTTACCACCTCTCGGTAAGACTGACACACACACACACACACTTGTATCTCTATCCTTATGAGGACTCTCACAGATATAATAATCTCAAGCTCCTCACTTCCAAGACCCTGAAAACTTTATTTAAAACACAAAAGTAAAATAATAATAAAAAGTAATATTAAATAATTATAATAATAATAATTAGAAAATAATATCTAATCAGTATTCCTATTTAAGTCTAAGTCTTCTTTAATAAATATGCAACAAATTGTTTGTTTTGAAAAAATATCCTCATGTCGTATTTATTAAGAATTTAATAACCAAAAACTCACAAATTTTTCCCACTCCACTCCGAGGATTAAAGATTAAAAATCAAAGTACAAATATGAAAAACAACGTTTTGTCCCAGTTCTCCAGAACGAGGGATGAACCAGTTAATTCAGTCTGTGTGCTAACATCTACATCATCAAAGATAAAAAGCTGTTTTCTTTGGTTTACTTTCTTTCAGCCAGAGCCTCCATTGTTACCTGCAGAGAGGGCGGGGCCCAGCGAAGCCCCGCCCCTCATAAAGGAGTGTCCTGGCCAATCGTTTCAGGCCTGGCGTCTGCTCCAGTATTTAAAGTCCAGCCTGGCCGACGCTGACGACATCCTGCTGGAGCCGTACCTGCAGAGCTGGGATCAGCTCCTCAAGTAAAGACACAAACAACCTCTCTGGTTCTTTGGTTACGCTGATTTGATGATCAGATTGACTCATGTTACTCTTGTGCTAACATTAGCTTAGCATAGGATCAAGACTGAGCAGTTCAGTTAGTCACAGTCTGAACGCTCCGTCCTCAGTCACCAATGTGACGGTTCAACTCTCTGTTTCAGCTTCATGGAGTCTCTCGGGACGATGGTCAGTTTGTTCTCTCAGAAGGTGAAGGAGAAGGTCGTACTGATACGAGAGCTGTCACTCAAATACAGCACAGAGGCTCATGGGAAACGTGGTCCGTCTGACAGCTCTGGACTAAAAAAAGGGGTGAGTGTCGCAAAAACATTGCAGGATGATTTGAAGTCATCAGCTCATTTTCTTTGTTCTCCTCTCCAGGCGTATCGCTCGGTTCGGTCCATGGTGGGGGCGGAGCTAAAGGCGGGCTTGGTGGACTTCACCTGGCGAACAGATTCAGGGTGCAGGACGCTGCTGCGGCTGCATCGATCTCTGCTGTGGTTGAAGCTCATGTTGGAGGGTTTGACTGAAGGACCGGACGCTGAAGGTCGATACAAAACACCTGGAGAGCTGGGCAGGTAATGACCTCAATGCTTCGCTTACAGACTGAGGCTAAAGCTAACAGACTGAGACTAAAGCTAACAGACTGAGGTTAAAGCTAACAGTCTGAGGCTAAAGCTAACAGACTGACATCACGACATCACGCTAACAGTCTGAGGCTAAAGCTAACACACTGAGGCTAAAGCTAACAGACTGAGGTTAAAGCTAACAGACTGACATCACAACATCACGCTAACAGTCTGAGGTTAAAGCTAACAGTCTGAGGCTAAAGCTAACAGACTGACATCACAACATCATGCTAACAGACTGAGGTTAAAGCTAACAGTCTGAGGCTAAAGCTAACAGACTCACATCACAACATCACGCTAACAGTCTGAGGCTAAAGCCAACAGACTGAGGCTAAAGCTAACAGACTGATATCACGCTAACAGACTGAGGCTAAAGCTAACAGACTGATATCACACTAACAGACTGAGGCTAAAGCTAACAGTCTGAGGTTAAAGCTAACAGACTGACATCACAACATCACGCTAACAGACTGAGGCTAAAGCCAACAGACTGAGGTTAAAGCTAACAGACTGACATCATGCTAACAGACTGAGGCTAAAGCTAACAGACTGACATCATGCTAACAGACTGAGGCTAAAGCTAACAGACTGACATCACGACATCACGCTAACAGTCTGAGGCCAAAGCCAGACTGACCTCATGATGGCATGCTAACAGAGTGAAGCTAAAGCTAACAGACTGGCGTCATGACATCACGCCAACACACCGCTGCTTTTTGTCCTCTTCCCTCAGGGAAGCCTACAAGGTGGCGCTGGCTCCCCACCACCCCTGGATGCTGCGTCAGGCTGCAGAGTTCGTCTTCCTCGCCCTCCCGGACAGACAGTACTTCCTGCAGCTGGTGTGTGTGATGAACCAGGAGGAGGCTGTGCCCGTCCTGCACACCATCATCCACGCCCTGATGCTCGTGCACACACAGACCCAGCGAATCCTGGCAGAACACAACATGCTGGAACTGCCTTGAACGCAGCACGTCCACGCAGCACGTCGACGCCATGACTGTACGCACAGATAGAAAAGCTTCCTGTCAATGTGCGGAGAGCTTCAAGGACAGAAACCACCAACAGACGACAAAAACACAACGTAAAACAGTCCGAGGTGGTGCCGACAGTGGTGGAGGAAATATTCAGGTCCATCACTGCAGTGAAAATACAACGTGCTCTGTTACAAGCTGACCTTTGACCTTTTGGATGTAAAATGTCATCACTTCATTATTTCATCCTGTCAGACACTTGTGTCAAATTTTGTCATAATTAGTGTTTGAATTCTTCAAGTATGGCCCAAAACATGTTTTGTGAGGTCACACTGACCTTTGACCATCAAATTATATTTAGTTCATTCTTGACTCCAACCAACGTTTGTGCCAAATTTGAAGACATACCCTCAAGCTGTTCTTGAGATACTGCGTTCACAAGAATGAGAAAGATACAAGGTCAAAGTGACGTTTGACCACCAAAATCTAAACAGTTCGTTGACTCAAAGTGAACGTTTGTGCCAAATTTGAAGACATACCCTCAAGTTGTTCTTGAGATACTGC